AGCACAGATTCACTTTCCTTGCTAACCACTTGCAGCTTTTCCATGGTGATGCTCGGATGCCCGCGCTTTGGCTGTGCTTTCAGTGCAAATAGTTTCATAAAAAAAGATGCAAAAACTGCAGCCCTACCTGGCTACCTTGAAAACTCACTGTCTGCTTCACTGTTTCCAAAGCTTCCTTGAAAAAGCCTTCTTTATAGTGAGCTTGGATATCAGTGAGCATSACAGCATGGCACCTGGGGTACTGCACTGGTGCCCACTCTGCTCTGTTTTGCAACTTTGACTGCAAGTTCTGCAAGAGTTGCTGCTCTAAGTGATATCCGTGAGTTGATAGTCACTCGGGTCTSCTGAAATACTGAGGAGTTTGAATGTGCTTTCTGCTTAATGGGGCCACATCCATTTCAGTGCAGATTAGCATTTTGTGTCATTTACAGCTTGTGGGTCAAGCACTGTTCGTAGTTATGATGAATTTTGCCTTTTTTTTTTCTTTACTCATTTGGATGGTTTTTCAACTTTCTGTGTCATTGAAGATGAAAGAGTTGGTTCCTGTATTAGATGATAGTGGTAACAAGTTAATTCCTCAGCTTCTAGAAAATGTACACTGGAAGGTATCCTGCAGATAACCTGCTTTGTCAGTCACTAATGACATTGTGCTTTATCAGCTGAAGTGCTAAAATACTTTGGGATAGGTGAGATTAATCTTAATTTTAGACACAGAATACTTTGATGCCCAAATCTGACCTGCTCACCCCAGGCACCTAGTACATGCAATGATGAAAATTGGTATCTCCGAAAGTGATTCATGTCTCTGCTGTCTATCTTGGGGTTGAGTTGCGTTGCCCTCTGGAAGCGCCTGCTTCCTTTCCTTGGCTGTAAAGGGAGCCTAAAGCAATTGGCTCAGAATTAGACACCTAAAAGTTAGACATCTAAGCCCAAGCAGCTGAACCTCTTGTCTGGTGTCTACCTGGCACTCTTCCTCCACCATCGTTTAGTTGTTCTGAATTTCCCTCCCAAATGCATACTCTAAAACTGATTCCCTGTGGGAATTCCCCAGCACCTGTTGAAGATTGAAATCACTTTCTAATTCCCTGTCCTTTCTGCACAGCCACRGTGTCGAATTAAGTGCATAGTTGGGTGGAAAGGGGAATAAAGGGAGCATTCTGGCTGCGGCTCTGATGGTGTCATCAGCTATGGGTGGCTGTCACTCCCCATAGGTGACAAATGCACGTTAGTCCATGAATTTGTCTTGCTAAGATGAAGGTGCACCGCAATCTTGATTTTATTTTCTCCCATTATGGTGCTTTTATCCTCATGTGCTGGACTGGCTCAGCAGCTTTCAATGGGAATTGTGTCAGTTCTGATAGAGCGCCCGTATTTGGTTTTAATAGTAAACAAAGCATTCCAGGTGGGGGGAATAAGAGCGGGTGGGGGGGAAATCCATCCGGAACTGCTCCGCAGCTCCCATCCCCAGAGAAACCTCCCCAGGCAAACTCGCACCAGATCTGATGCCAGTGCTATGCAAAGCAGCTGCCAGGTGAACCAAGGAGAGGAGCATAGTCCTCGTCTGCTGTGCTGCTCGGAGCCAGCTGGGCTTATCACTGCTTTATTCCCTCTATCCAGGACTCTCAAAACGTGGGGAATGAAATCCTGTCCTACGGGGAAGCTCCCTGGAAGTGTAGAGCAAGGGGCTCAAAGCAGTCTTTTTCCATTTAAATCCCAGGGCTTCCCTCGTTTGATGCAATTTAGGGAGAGGAGGACTGTGTTTAGCAGACTCTGGAGATTCTGGATCCCCTTGTGTTTGACTGGTGTAGCAAGAGGCAAGTTGTTGGCTGGCATGAGGCTTCACCAAAATTAGTGGAGTTCTGGCAGTTAACAGCAGCTGAGAATCTGCTGCCACTTACACTTTCYTTTCTTTTTATCTCCTGGAGCAAAAAAAGATTAAATCTTAAGTGCAGATCCTTGCTGTTTGAAYAACCATTTTATTTAAGGAGAAAAGTGAATACTTCACTGTAGGTCTAAGGCGGATCCCCTGAAACAGGGATGAAACTGAGTCTATTTTTAAAATATATGTAGTAAAGTTAGTGATTTAACTGAGCAAAGAGAGTTGTCCTTATTGCACCCAAACCATGGCTTGCAGCTGAAATTATCTTAATTCTACTTGACTTACAAACTTCTACAGAAATAGAAAAGGATGAGAATTGCTTGCAAATCAAGCTCACCAGTCCTGCTGAAAAGTTGAAGAGATTTGTCTATCCAGTCTCTATTTACATAATTTTCTTACACTGGAAGAAGAAATCACATCATCCAACTTCAAATATCTCACTATTGGACATCTAAGCCTTAACCAGTTGCCCCTGGGTCACTTTGCAGGCAATAAAGAGAAATAGTCATCTCCAGAGGGCCATTCATCTCAGCCTAAGATAGGCGTCTAAGATAGGTCACATGAATGGCCTCTGGAGGTGCCTATTGCCTTCGGTGTCTACCAAGACAGCCCAGGGCTGTTAGCACAGACTTAGACGCCCCAGATTGGCCTGATTTAATGTCAGYCTCTCGTGTATTTCCAGCATGTTCCATTGGTGCAAAATACCCTATTAAGATGCTCTACCTCCTGATTCAAGGTGGATGATGCAAGAGAACAGTGTTTAGGAYCCAAAGGAGGCTTTTTCTAGCCTTGGATGAGAAGCAGGAGAGAAAAAGAAGGCTGGGAGTATATCACTGACATTTGATTATGCAGGGAGAGAAAATGAAAAGATGGGGAGCTTAGAATCAGAAGAAAAAAATGTGCTGAAGGGTTCAGACCTGGATATTCTGAACTCCTGTGTTTTTGGCAGTTCTGTTTGGAGAATTTGGCTCCAGCTGTAGGAGAGACATGGAGCAAAACGCTGCTCCAGCTGTGGATTTCGAGTTCCAAGTGTTGGGGTGTATGATGGGTGACTCAGACCCATCATCACTGGAACCTAGGGATTTCCCTCAAGGTCTTTCTATCCTGCCTCATCAACATGTTGCTTTCAAACGTGAGCAAAACTCCTCCAAGAAAGCAGAAGATTATCTTTTACTTCCTGTTCTGTTTCAGCAACCGGGAACTTTATTTCCTTCTTCTCTTCTTTTTGCCCTTCTTCCCTTTAGCTACTGCCTTAGATCACATCACCCACCTCTCCCTGTGAGTTTCAAAGGCAGAAAGTGCAGGCCTTTGTGATCMTCACACAGCCCTGCTCAGGTGTGTGGATGCAGATTGTGATCATCTATTAACACTATCAGCATTCCCATCGTTTATACGTGCAGTCGTTGGCTCTTGGGGCTTAAAGCTGGAACGCAATGAATGAACAGACTCCTCAGGCAGGAGCAGCTGGAGAGAGGTGGTCAGAGACAGTTACAGCAGGAGGAATGGGGAGCTCGGGAGCACGTGGCAAGTTGGAGGCTGCAGAAGGAGCAGGGAATTACTTGGGAGAAGATAAAGACCTGAGATTGGGAAGAGAAAAAAGCTTTGAAAAGCAGGTTGGGGGGAAGACAGGAAGAGAGGGCAGGTTCTAGCACAACAGAAATGCAGGCAAGCTGGGGAAGAAGATCCAAGGCTRTAAATGGGCTGAGTTGCAAGAGACAGAGGAAAATGGGGGAGATTGCAAGGCATAGAGAGGAAGCGCAATGAGGCCATCAGCAGCAAGAAGCAGCACCCTCGTACTGTCCTATAACAAAGACATCAGCAGAAGGAGAGCAACAAAGATACCTTAGTTTCCATTGTCAGTGCTGTTAATACGTAGCAGATAAAATCTCCAGAACAGTTTCTAGATAGCAGAGGGAGCCATGAAATTGTTATGGGGTTTTTATACTGATTCTAAAGCTATTTTGCTATCTATGAATAATTGTACCAAGCACACTCCTGCTGAGTATCTCAAAGAAAGATGATGATTCACCTGGGAATATTATATGTATGATGAGAGCAGAGAAACTGTACACTGGATTGGGGCAGAGGCTTGTTCAGTCAGAAGCAAGTCAGTAGAAGAGTTGGGTTTGTACTTCTCCCTGTACAGCCTCTCCTCCTTGCCAACTTTTTGCAAGAGGCAGACATGAACTCCAGAGAAACATACTGCGTTGAAGCTTGATCGGACCACAAGGCATGGGCTCTGCTTTATGGGGAACATTATGCTGGAAGAAGCAGAAGCAGGAGGCCTTGAGGGCTTGTGCCAGGGATATACAAACAGTTTAAGACTTTATCACAAACTCATTTGGGCTGCAAGAGAATGACTTGGGGAATGGATTGCAAAGGGAAGGGAAGGGGTTTCTTGGGGTTGCCTTTGCAACTCAAGAGGCTTCGTGGAATCCCTTAAAGYTTTCATATCTGTACTGCAGAGCCTTTCCTCTGTGATGTTCTTGATGAATTTGGCAGGTGTGATGGGGGGGGAAGAATGTTTATCATCAAAGGGGAATGAGTGAGGGCCTGTGCGGTACCTTCAGGCTGAAACCTGTCTGATTTTTCCCCCTGTGCCTGCCAATCTCTTTTGGAATCAGGGAGACGCCTCTTTAGCACAACCCCACGGCACCCTCTGTTCCTCTAGAGATCCCGTAATTACTCAGTGCCACATGGGTTCCTGAAGCTCTCTCAGCCTCGGCCACCTGTTTGCCAGCCTCTCGCACTGTTAGCTTTTGCTTTATGCATAACGCCTTGCTCCTGGATTTCCCTGGAGATTTGTAACGTCCTCGAGCTCACCTCGGCTGGAATCTCCCTTTCAATCAGCAAGCTTTCCCCCACCCTTCTGCCTGGCCAGGTATCTCCAGGCAAAAGCAGAAGCTCTGTTTATTTCTGCAGAAAGCTGGTATCTCCAAACGTTGCAAAAGCTGCCTTYGTACATCCCTTGCTACTTTCGCCTTGCCTTCGGTTTCCAGCTGCTCCTCCTTAGCTGGGCAAGCAGCACGTCTTCATTTATGTTTGTTCTGGGTTCTGCAGAGTCCAGATCAATGTTGACTGTCATTAATACTGAGACCTTTTTCTGTTTGTTTCTTTGTAGGAAGTGARCAGAATGGGCTGGAATTTAACAGGCAGGTAAGATTCTTCCTGGGTTACCAGGTATTCTCCTACTTGCTTGAGTTACAGTGTTTTAATTGCTTGTCTTGCTGGGTCCCAAGGTGCTACTGCTAAGAGATATAGCGTTAGGTAATAAGCTACTGCTAAGCAGACCACATAAGTCCTTCCCGATTCCCTCTGTGGGACAAAATGACACATTGTACTTCTGGTTTCCAAGCCTTCCTAGTTTGTTGAAGTTGGCTGATTGCAGAGCTTCTTTAAATCATCATTTACTGGAGGCTTTTTCTGGCTTTTTTTTTTTTTTTTTTTTTCCTGCTGTTTAGAAACAAAAGGGGCCTCAGTTACACTGGGGAACATGTGAATCCCACCCCAAAGCTCCATGCGTTTGTACTGCGTGTGACACCAACACTGAAAGCACTGTGGTATGCAAGCCAATGAGTATGGATCTGACTCACAGGAGTATCAGCAAGGACTGAAGATGAGGTGGTTTGAGGTCTTGGAGTGCCTGGGTCAAGACCAGGCCTGTCTGCAACAGCAGATTCCTCTATGCAAGACAGTGGGGAAAGGGACAGTATATAAATGCAAGTGTTTGTGAAAACCACGGGAGCACAGCCCCAGTTAGAAATGAATGTGAGAATCAGAACTGCTGTCTTTGCTSTGTTCACTGGTCTCTATCCTTCTGCTTCTTGCAGCTAAAAGCAGCTCCTATCCCATGGGCTGCCTGAAGGTTTGCAGAGGTGGCTGTAAGGAAATCCCTGCGCCTTAAGCAGAATTGCAGGAGGAGGCAGGTGTCTGCCCTCGAGAGAATATTGATCTCGAGTCTGTGCAGAGGCCTGCAGAAATGTTCCGAGACCAAAAGTAGGGGCTGTTGTTGCCGTCAGAGGTGTTGGACTGAGACCTGGTGAGCAGAAGGAGGATGTCCAGAGCACTAGTCATCTGCCACAGGGCTCTTGGGATAGCCAGGGAACCAGAGTGAGGAAAGCAGACGGGGCTGTACCTTTACGGGCAAGCACTAGTGTTTAAAGCGGATATTGGCACTATAACAGCTGAGCAGCTCTCCTGCCTCCAACTTGACATTCCTCGGGTTCAAGGGTCGTGATCCCTTGCAAAGGCTTCCTGATGACAGCAGGTGGGCAGCTGGAGCCTTTCCCCGTCACTTCTCTGCCCTCCAAGCTTGCCTTGGTGGCTCTTTGTCTGACAGATGTCAGCAGGCTCCTGTTTGTTTATTTGATTTGGCTGCTCCACTTTTGGGTGGATCGTAACTTCCTGTCAAAGGTGTCCTAACATGTTCAGCCATCTTCCAGGTTTCTGGAAAACCCAGCTGAAAACAAAAAGTCTTGTGTCTCCAGCTTTGTGGATTGCAGAGCCCAAAGCACAGGCTTTCTACACGCCAGGAGAAGAATCCAATCTGCTCATAACTAGTGATAAAAGAAAATTCCCTCCAGATAGAAATAAGCTATTTAAGTACAAGATCGTTAAATGTTGCAAACTTCTCGTATGGCAACACCACAAAGATGTTAGAACTGGATTCTCATCTGGGGTCAATCGAGGAAACATTATTGACTGGTGAAGTAGTGCTGCTTTACACTGCCTAATGATTTGTTCCATTATCTCTAAGGTCCTATTCCTCTGCGTGCCACTAAATGAGAGGATGCTGGTAAACTCATGAGGACAAACAGCCTTGAGTTCTATAGCATTTGGATCAGTTTAGCGGACAGAGATATCCTCTTCCCACAGAGGTTGGGGTTTTACGGCAATCTTTTGCCACATTCTTAACCACTTTTCTTTTTCGGCTTCCACTGAGATACGSCAAGGTCCCTTTTATTTATGTCCACACATCTGTACGTGTACCTGCATAGCAAATCTGTCTGGGGCCTGATCAGGGAAAAGAAGCAAAAATCTGGGAAAAGCAAAAAAAAATTATACATCCTAATAGCTTTCTTTAGAAGCTATGTTGAATCCCCAGGACATTAGAAGTGCCCACAGAAGGGGCCTTGGGGTGATGTCTGTGATGGGGTTGTAGCAGTTGCAGGTGAGTGGACATAAGTATATGTAAACAGTCCTGAAGGGAGCGTGGCTCTTTGTCTCCCTCTCTTGGATAGTCCTTGTGTTTACTTGAGCCTTTATTATTATTATTACTACTATTATTATTATTATTTTAAATGAGAATGAGCCCAAATGCATGCAGGTGATACACTTGGGTTTCAAACTGACCTCAACCATTGGTGAATTTATCTTCACTTCGGCAAATAGGTTTGAAATGACGAGAAGAAGGGAGAGCCGGGATATGGAAATATCTAAGTGTTTTCATGTAAAATCAGGTGCTGAGCTTTTTCATTAAGGGTGGAGGTTGATGGGGTTTTTAATTTTGGTTTGGGGTTTTTTGTTACCTTGCCATTCAAGTTTTCAAACCAAAGCCAGAGAAGCACGGTTTGAAACCAAACTAGGGACTGAGTGTAAGAGCGGCTGAGCTCTCTTTGRCTTTATTTGGAGTGCTGGGTGCTAATCACTTTGAAGATCATAAATCTCACATCATTTAAGCCTCTCCCCCAGTCTTTGTAGATGGCCTACATTTCAGGTCTGCTTCCCTCCCATGTTGCGCTCCAGGCGGGTAGAGAAGGGTGGAGTGACCTGGTTAGACCCCTTACTTGCCTACCCATTCCCTGCTGCGGCTGCTCTCACCCTGAAAATGGGGAGGAGGGAAACTCTGGTGGAGTTTGAGGTTTTCTCGCCGTTTGTGGGTCAGCCCTGCTCTTTATGAGAAAGCTGCCTTCTGATCCCTCAACCTATTTGGCAAACGCTTCTTACCCCCTCCCCTCTTCAAACTCTCCTCCCACCTGGATGCAACAGTAATTTGTATGTGAATGAGAGGGGAAAGGGTGTGTGTAGAAAAAGAAGCATCTTCTGTCTTGCCTATCTGGTTTGGCTTTTTAGTTAGTGAGTCTAATGCCAGTTGTTTCCTGTTTATAGCAAGGGAAATGCAAAGAGACAGCAACAAACTTTCACCTTCAGTGCTGGCAACCTGGATAGGGACATCTGCTTCTTGATGGTTTGGGATGCTGTCCAGAGAGTGTCAGGAAGAGAAGTGAGTAACTCAGCAAACCTAGCTTCAGAACAGAAGGGCATCAAGTGAGACCTGAAAAAAGGTCTGACTGAAAGCGTTGAATCAGGACTTTTCCTTGGTTATCATGAGGTGATCAGCCAGGTGTGGCTGATATGGTCTTATGAGGCTTTGTTTGTTTTATTTCCCCATGGGTATATGTTATGTGCCACTCTTCAGAAAATATTGCGTTGTTTGTTTTCAAAGATCGCCCTGAAGAAAGCAGTTCTTGAGAGCCAGGTAACTTGCCCGTTGTCTGGAGGCAATCCCTGCAATAATGCTGCTTTCTGAAAAATACACACAGATCTAGGGCTGGTGGCTTGAGGAGATAACAGTGGTCGTGTGCATGGTGTGAGCACAGTCCAGCATACAGTGGATTTGTTTTATACACAGTCAAAGTAGCAAAAGACTCAGTTTGTGAACTACGGACTTATTTTTCATGAGGAAAATGAAGGCTAGGATTGTCATCTGCTGATCCTTGAAGTAAAGCAATCTCTGTGTGTCAGGGCAGAAGGAAGGCTGTCTTTCCAGGCAAGGGAATGGGAGATCTTCCTAGCCCATCCATGCTCTTAAGAACTGATTTGCACTCTATTGCTAGAGGAGATTAAGCCCTCTTTGATGTAAGCCTGATGCATGCCCAGTGCAGGAAAGGCTTGGAAACATCTGTGCACACTCTGTATCCAAATATTACATGCAGTTTTATTCCAGCAAAAGGTRAATCCCTGCAGATAGGCTGTCACTAGTTTAATGATAATGACAGGTTAGATATTTGTACCAATATAAATGTGATTCTGCCATGAGACCTTGCATTATTTAACACAGACAAGCAGGCAGTGGTGTGCTTGAGCAGCCCAGGACTGCGCACAGGTTGAATTTGCCTGTTGGTGCTTTACACCTATCACTTTAATTTTTTGTTTTACACACATATGGAGGTGTAATAGGGATACATCCTTTTCAGACAATCCTTCTAGAAATAGGGTTTTGGGAAGGTTTTACCTGGGAAAAGGAGGTGACTTAGAGGTGTATACCTGGAGCAGGAGATCCTTAGAGAATGCAAGAAAGCATACAGAGTAAAACAGAAACATGGTTTGTGTTTGAATTGGCCTGGTACATGAACTCAATACTTACATTTGTGTCTGCAAGTGCTTACTGAGAGAGAAGTGAGAGGCAATGCCCTCTGAAAAATTCCTTTATTCCAGAAGTGAGTGAAGGGTCCTGGTAACATCCACTGCTTCCTGCAAGTGATGCCCAAGAGGAAGCCCCTTTGGAGCCAGTTCGTTCCCAGGTCACCTCCCAGCCCTGTTCGTGCCTGACAGAGCCATTGTCCAAGGAAACTTAAATTTTTCTTGTCTGTCTTGGGGTTTGCAATGGTTGTTTTCGATGAAAATTGACTCAGGCCTTCACAACTCAAATCTGTAGGCATAGGATGTGAGAAAGGAAAGTAGGCAAACTGCATTTGAGATCTAAAATCACTTGTGGCCCTTTTCCAGTGTCATTAATAACACTTTAACCTTGTTTGGTACTTTCCACCCACACGTCTGAAAGGTACTTTGCTAATGAATTTAGCATCCCAGTGCCTCCAGAAGGTAGGGAGGTATTTAACCCTGTCTTACAGATCTGGCAGGTAGGGACGTACTGCCCTTTTCCAAAGATGCTGATCACTGTGATTGCAGTAGAAATCATTGGATGCTTTATAGGACACTTGCCTGTGGACATTGAGCCTTATTGTAATCCAAGGACTTGCTCCGTGGTGTAGCTGGGATATGGACTCAGGTTCTCTGATTCATAGTCTTGTGCTCAACCACAGACAAGTTCTTCCTCCCCTCCATCCTTTTGAAGGTGGAAAGAAGGGCCTAACTTGCTCAGTATTTAATTATTAATATCTGGGATGCAAAACTCCCTGCAGATTTAATTTTGT